ATTCTCTGAACCATGTTCCACACCTTAGACATTGGCGTGCGTGAATTAATATTGGAGACATATTTCCTCCAAGATTGTCGTTTGTTTTGTTTAAAGGTACGACGCGCCTTCGCATTGAGTATTTTAAATTTATTTAAATTATGGGCAGTTGGATGATGGCGGAAATAATGTTCCGCCTTTTTCTTCGCTTTTCTGGCTTGTCTACAGTCTGTATTAAACCATGGTTTCCGTACGTGTGGAGTTGTAGAGGAATTCGGTATACACTCATCAGCTATTTGATTTAAAACGTCAGCAAAAATCTGAATGGGATCAGGTACGTCACTGAAGCATTCAGGTCGTAATTTCAATTTACATATAGTTTGAAATAAAGGCCAGTCAGCCTTCGAAAAATTCCATCTTGTATATGATGGAGAATCATTTGGAGTTATTTCTGAAAGAATAGTTGGGAAGTGGTCACTTCCACAGAGGTCACTATGGACAGACCAACCAAATTCATTTAGGAGGTCAGAGTCTGCAAGAGACAGATCTAGAGAAGAATAGGTTCCGGTTGCAGGATGCAGGTAAGTGCTTGAATCATCATTGTATATACATAGGTCATTATTGGAGATAAAATCTTCCAGTATTTTACCTTTAGTATTGGTGTTATTACTACCCCAGAGCGGGTTGTGACCATTTAGGTCACCCATGATAACACAGGGCTTCGGGAGTTGATCATAGAGTGACTGTAGATCAGTCTGCTGAAGTGCCCATGAAGGCGGAATATATACAGAGCATAATGTAAATACTACACCCAGAGTAAGTCGCACTGCAACAGCTTGGAGATTAGTTTTAAGTGTAACACGGCTGTGAATAACATCCTGCCGTATAAGGATAGAAGATCCTCCAGTGGCCCTATCACCACGAGGAGAAGAATGATGATAGGCTGTAAACTGGCGTAAAGTAAACTTATCCGTCTGTTTCAGATGCGTTTCTTGTAGACAGAATGCTGATGGCGTTAAATCCTGGACTAATAGCTGTAGTTCATTAAAATTAGTCCTCAGACCTCTACAATTCCACTGCACGATAGTAGTAAAATGACCTATCTTTTAAGGGGATTGATAGGGGATCTACCCCTCACTTTCACCACACAAAATGACTGTATTGCCCACATTTACTAACGTTAGGTAATATACGTTTCATCCGGCGGCCATATGAACAACGTTGGAAATCTACGTATCATCTGGCTGTCAGATTTACACACGTTTAAAAGGGTGTTTAAATTAACGTACACTCAACTCTGTATTTACATGTATTTCACAGGTGTGTAAATCTGGCCATTGTTTTCATGTGTTTTCTAGCATGTGTAACATATGTAAATGCTGTGATTGTAGGACATGCATTTTAATACCTTTGAAATCTCGTATGACCAGGGTTAGGTTTGTCATATATTTAGTACACGCGTAAATGGTTGGTAATGGATAAATAGTGTTACAAGATTTACACTATTTTAACATGTATTTCAATGGTTCTGTAATGTAACTTTCACATATGGTTCGTTAGCACGTCGGACCACGCCATATTGCACGAAGGTCATTAGAAACACATGGCGAAGTGATACCCATGACAGAGCACCGCTATTAACGTGCCTGCCTTTCTTGACATACACATGATGTCTGTTTAAAAGGTTCAGATATTGGGTCTGTTGGCTAGAGCGACATGTGTTACGTGGTATGCAAGTGAACGCACTAATTGCGAGTTACGTCCCTTTGATATGTGTGCTACGTCATTAGTTGGTGTAGTCAGCCATGATGTTCAAGTAAAAAGGATCATCGTTCATCTCCTCTTTTGTTGTGCCTTGTTCTGAATCACTACACATAAACGAACACGTAACATGGTGGCAGCAGGTGACTACGAATGCTCTCGCCCGTATGATTTCGCTCTCAATAGTGAAATTTGACTCTCTCTCTTACTGTAATGAGTTGAACTCTCGCCCTGGCGCGGCCCACGTGCGTCGTCCTTGTGGATGTGTAGTGAACTCAATCTCTCTTCTCTATTCACCGATATGGTAGATCAAGTGCAAGCACAACCAGTTCTCAAACCGGGTTAGCGAATTAGACCTCCAAACTTCAACCTTGACTCCAACATTGCCGAAACTTGGAAGTTTTTTCGTCAAAAATGGAGAAACTACTACATTCTCACTAAGCTATCTGACTATCCTCACAAGTATCAAGTTGCCATGATTCTAAACACTCTCAGTGATGATGCCCTGAAAATCTATAATGGATTTCACTTTACTACTCCTGAAGAGGAAAGGACTGTAGCAGAAATCATTGAAAAGTTTGATGCATTTGCAATAGGAGAAGTAAATGAAACATATGAACGTTTTGTCTTCAATAACAGACGTCAGAAGGAAGGTGAATCGTTTGAATCATTTCATGGTGCAATCAGAAATCTTGTAAAAACATGCAACTATTGCAGGGAGTGTGTACCCTCTATTGTTAGAGATCGTCTTGTGCTAGGGATTAGAGATCAGACAACTCAGCAATCTTTGTTGAGAGAACGAGGCTTAACTCTAGAAAGATGTATTGACATTTGCAAAGCTTCTGAAAATGCCTCTACTCAATCTAAGGTTCTCAGACCTGAACTTGTGAATAAAGTTTCTCACAGACCTGCTAAGAACAGTCAGAAAGGTGCTAACAAGGCTAGGCCTCACTCTTCAAACTCTTCTCAGTCTCACAACAGACAACAAACTACTAGTCACTCATCTGCTCAAACCAGAGAATGTCTTTATTGTGGAAATACTCACGTTATGATAAAAGAACAGTGTCCAGCATGGGGAAAGACATGCTCCAAATGTAAACGCAAGAACCATTACTCTTCTAAATGTGACTCTTTGAAAAACAGAAACCACAAAGTCAATAATGTGAAATCATCGAATGATGATTCGTTGGATCATGAGGAGGATTGGGTATTCTCTGTACAAGCCAAACCTCAGAGACCTGTTCAGTGTCGCGATGACAGTCGCGGACTGTGACGCCATCTTCACCATCGATCCTGGAGCTTCTGTGAATGTTTTACCTGTGACTGTAGTTCAAGACAAGATTGGTGAACTCCAACCCACAACCAAGAATCTCAAGATGTGGAACAACTCCGACGTTATTCCACTTGGGTCAATACGACTCTCTGTAAGCAACCCAGCTAATATGAAGAAATACAATGTTGAATTCACAATTGTCGAGGATGAGTTGACCCTCTTCTGGTGTGCGTGCAGCTACACAGATGGGACTTGTGTCGCTCAATGAGAATAACATTGAGCGAGTGTCTTACGTGCAAATTGAGGACAACTACAAAGATGTTCTTCAAGGGACTTTAGGTAGTTTTGACGGCACCGTCCATCTCTCTGTGGATGACACTGTGACCCCTGTTGTCATGCCCTCTCGTCGTGTGCCGATTGCTCTCCGCCCGAAACTGAAGGCTGAACTGGATCGTATGCAGAAGCTTGGTGTAGTTGCTCGGTCAGTCAGCCCACTCCATGGGTAAGCCAAATCGCCATTACTCAAAAGCTCAGGTGATCTCAGGATTTGTCTTGACCCACAAGAACTCAATAAAGCACTCCAACGGGAACACTATACTCTTCCCATTCTTGAGGACACTCTCCATGAACTCGGACAGTCTCGTGTCTTCTCCAAAGCCGATCTCTCATCTGGATACTGGCATTGTGTACTCGATGAAGAATCCAGCCTCATCACTACTTTCCAAACCTGTTTCGGGAGGTACAGGTGGCTTAGGCTCCCTTTTGGATTGAATGTCTCATCTGAGATATTCCAACGCAAACTCACTGAAGCGTTAGATGGTCTACCTGGCGTAGTGTGCATCGCCGACGACGTACTCATACATGGAAAAGATGTCAATCACCATGATGAGAACCTCAAGCAGTTCTTTACTCGATGTCAAGAAAAGAACATTCGACTTAACCCCAACAAGTTAGAGCTCAGACTCAGTGAAATCACATTCATGGGTCATGTGATCACGAAAGACGGACTCAAGTCGGATCCAGAGAAGGTCAGGGCTATACATGACATGCCTGTCCCTTCCAACACTGAGGAAATACGTCGCTCCCTTGGGCTAGTGAACTATCTAGCCAAATTTCTCCCAAACCTGACTGAAGTCACGACTCCAATGCGCAACCTCACGAAGAAGGATGTACCCTGGACATGGTCCAAGTCTCAACAAGACTCCTTCGACAAGGTCAAGTTTCTAGTCTCATCTACTCTTGTATTGTCGTCGCTCTATGACCCAGCAAAACCAGCAACTCTTGAGAATGACGCCTGTGAACATGGACTTGGTTCTGTGCTATTACAGGAAGGCCGTCCTGTCGATATGCTAGTCGCTCTTTAACTGATGCAGAAAGGCGTTATGCGCAAATTGAGAAAGAACTACTTGCAGTAGTCTTCGGCCTACAGAAATTCCATCACTATACTTATGGCCGATTATGTGTCTGTCATCACAGATCACAAGCCTCTTGTCGCCATAGTGAGAAAACCTTTGTCAAAAGCTCCTACTCGTCTCCAAAGTCTCCTACTCAGAACTCAAACCTACAACTTTGACCTCCAGTATCAACCAGGAACCACTATTCCAATTATGGATACTCTCTCTCGAGCTCCTCTACCTGACAAGACACAGCTAGAGCCTGTACAGGTGAACAGTGTGATGTACACAAACATCACAGACCACAGCCTTGATCAGATCAAAGCAGCTACTTTGACTGACGACATACTCTCTCAACTCAAGACCGTCATTGTGCAAGGCTGGCCTGATATCAAGAATGATCTCTCGCCTGAACTGAGGACCTACTTCAGTTATCGTGATGAACTGACTGTGCATGATGGTCTCCTTCTCCGTGGATCACGCGTTGTGATTCCTGCCTCAATGCGTGAAGAGCTGAAGAGAAAACTTCATGTGGGACACATGGGAATCAACTCTTGTCTCCGACGTGCTAAGAGTACAGTTTTGTGCCCCTGATGTCAAGTGACATCAGACAGTACATAGAATCTTGTGACATATGCCAGAAGTTTTGTGACAAGCATTCTCCTGAACCACTCTACATGCATGAAATTCCTGATCACCCCTGGGAAAAAGTTGGAAGTGATATCTTCACCATAGAAGGAAGAAACTACTTGGTAACCACCGACTACTACAGCAACTTCTTCGAGTTAGACTTCCTACCTGACACTACCTCAGAAACAGTGCTCCACAAACTGAAGCATCACTTTGCCCGCCATGGCATTCCTCGCGTCATCATCAGTGATGGCGGTCCACAATTCACAAGTGAGAAGTTTAAGACATTTTGTGAAACATGGGGCCTTGCTCACGAGCTATCCAGTCCCGGGAACAGCAAGGCGAATGGAGCCGCAGAAGCTGCTGTGAAAGTCGCTAGCGAATGATGAGAAAATGCAGAGAAGCTAAAGAAGATCCCTACCTAGGACTCTTAAACATTAGAAATACTCCTACTGAAGGTATGGAGACCAGCCCAGCCCAACGCCTGTTTGGACGTTCAACGAAGACTCAACTGCCAAGCCCGGTCTCCAACCTCAAGCCTTTGTCTGAGACCAACACCACAGCCGACCTGGTCGACAGACGCATGAACGTACTTGCCAGACATAACCGCAAATACTCTGGTAAACCACTCCCACCTCTCAACATAGGCGATCATGTCAGAATGCAACCAATTCAGCATGGACAAAAAGAATGGACTCAAGCCACTGTGCAATCTAAGCTGAAAAGTCGCACATACACTGTCATGTCCAAGACTGGGCAGACCTATAGAAGAAATCGCCAACAGTTACGCCTGACGCGTAACCCTGTGAACAACGACCCTGAGCCTGAGGCCGTAGACAACACTCCTATTCACTCTGAAGGAGGGGTTAATGTGCAGTCCGATGACACTCCCGAGACAACAACTAGTGTTGTTCCTGGCATCCCTGTCAGCAAACAGCACCCTGTTCCTGAGAGCACTCCAGAGACAGTTCAAGTGCTCCCCTACAGAACTCGGTCCGGCCGTGTCGTGAAACCAACAAAGCAATATGATGCATAGACTGTAAAGTGCTCATTCTCAAACGTTAAAGTTAATCCATTGAAGCTTTAAATCCAAGTAGGATGATGTTTTATTTACGCCAAAGGACTCATAAATGGTTGAGTTGAGTTTCAGTTAAGTATCATCACTCAGTATTAGTATGGACTCTAGAGTGTTAAAGTGTGGTGATAAAGAAGCCTTTTCAACTCACTCAACGTTTAAAGTGCCTCTAGTCAACGTTTAGTTCTGGTAAAGTTTAAAGTTAATAACTGTTCATCTAAAGTGTTCTTTCTATTTTCCTTTTAAAGGAAAAGGGATGTTACGTGGTATGCAAGTGAACGCACTAATTGCGTTACGTCCCTTTGATATGTGTGCTACGTCATTAGTTGGTGTAGTCAGCCATGATGTTCAAGTAAAAAGGATCATCGTTCATCTCCTCTTTTGTTGTGCCTTGTTCTGAATGACTACACATAAACGAACACGTAACAACATGTATGTTAGGGAGTGTGTGTGTGTGCATGTGTGTGAGAGGGAGGGGTGTTTGATGGGGCAGGCCTAGGGTGGGGTGATGGCGGTGGGGTACTGATAAGCCTTGCTGCAGCTGGTCAGTAGGTAATACCGTTTATACTTTTTTGGAATGGAAATTACATTACACTTTAAATAACTGATCTTAGGTACACTTCTTATATATAACATGCAAGGAGAGACTGCTTATTGCAATAAAACACAGACAGGTGTGTTCACACAGACATGAACCGGTAGGTCCCTAATTTTAGTGCACACTTGTATAAGTTATCAGACTGATCATAGCTGCACAAATTTTATTATCTATTCTTTTAAAAATGATGATTACAATGTATTAATGATTCCCGGTGTAAATTACTGTTGTAAATGTGTAAACATGCATATACGTACTTGGCATAACCTCTCTTTTATTCGGAATCTAGATATTATCCCATACGGACGTTTTCTAAAATGTAAGTTCCCCGACGGAATATACATAAGTGTACACCTATTTTGATTCTAGTTCTAGGGTAGATTATAGAAAATTCTTGTGATTACAATTAGTTCATAAGCTTAGGTAACTACGCAGTTTCGATAATTACTGGAAGTTTACCACCTCACCGCATTTGTTACTCATGCGTTTTCATTTTTGCTTTTTGCTCTCTGATTTGTTATACATTACATAATTATGGTAATCATTTTGGCATCCCGATATCATGGAATAAATGTTTACTTATTAATCTATCAAAGTGCCGAAACTTATTGTCTGTATGTGTTACTGTTATTGAGTGAAACTGTTAAATGTACCTTCGTACAGAATTTCCAGGACATAGAAACTGAAAATTGCTAAATAAATGGAAAACTAAATTTGATAAAAATTGCAAACAATTATTATTCATATACCTGTTTTAAAGTATCAGTGCGCAGATGTTCAATGGATATTAAGACCAAGTAAATTGGAAGATTCACAGACTAACAGTATTTCTTTACAGTATTTCCTTACAGACATATATAGAAAATTATTTTTACGGGTATGGAACGAATGGGGTAAAACATCTGCAAAGCATCTGAGTCAGCTGAGATTATCCTTTAAAAACATCATATGTACATTTAACAATTACTTATCATTAATTGCAACCAAAGCATTACATAAATGCCATATTTCCAGACAGCATGACATCACCTATGGCCGGAGTTCCAAATATTTGACATTGAAACCTGTCAGTTAACGCAAAGGAAATAACCCTTGTGTTTTACAATGATGCCTTAATCATAGTCACAATGAAATAGTTTCGTGCTTTGAAGTTTACACAGATTCCCGAACGTTGGTTGGTTGTGAGAGCGGTCATGTGATCTAAAATTCAAGGTTCATATCTCTTGAACCCTTCAAATCGTTCATACGTGTGTGAACGTTTTCCAGCCGATCTAGGTCATGTGAACTTTTGCCGGAACTACTTTCTGGGTTTTCCCAGGATACTCTCTGTCCAGCTTCACGTAAACAAAATAACAATTATTTGTATTCACACTGCTTTTAATTTCTACATATCACTTAGTTGTTTTTGTATATAACAAAGTTCATAAATCAAATAAAATGATATTTTTAATATTTCTTTATTAAAAAACAATGTTTTTCGCTCGTTTGTCGTCTGCTACTGTAAAGTCATGTCTGACAACATCGGCGTAGACTACGGCAATTTTTCTATTGGCACCGAAAATATTGTGGATATGGATTTTTTGCAAGATGTGAATCTTGAGCAACTATTTTCCGAGATGACTGATGAGGGGACCTGTCCTACATCTGTGGATTCGATATTAAATGACCAGATCATAAAAATGGAAACGCCCGTGACCACTGATGACAAAATCGGTCCTCAAAAGGCCACATCCACATCAAGATTTGTAATTTCTTCGGAAGAAAAACTTCAAAGCCTTGAACAACAACGCCACAGTCAGTCGACAATGGAAAATACAAGGTGGGGACTAAAAATGTTCAATGGTAAGTTGTTTTGTAGCCTTAAAAAATCTAACCTCAGAGGTATAAACATACTGTATAAGGCCTATACACAGTAGACCTACATTGTGACTAAGTACAATAAACCCTTGTAACCCTACATCAATGGATAAGGCCTAAATTATAGATTGATTCTAAAATTTTGCAATGCTTACGTCAAACCTAAACTGAAAATACAACAATGAGAAAGTATACATCATACCTATATCCACAAATATGACTCCCCAAATGACAACCCACAAGAAACAGCAATAACCACGTACCTTTTTTAAAACTTTTTACAGATTGGTCATTCCAAACGAGGAATATCCAGGTGAATTGGGAAACAATCCTTCCTACTGCATTGGCCGATCTCCTGAGGTGTTTTTTACGCCGAGACACGCCCACAAGTATCCAATGGCAAGGCTATCACAGTTTCCTCGTCCGAGGATTACCATCGCAACACTTTGAAAAATCTGAGAGCAGCTTTGAACAGACACCTCCGACTGCTGGGTCGACCAAGTGACATTGTCAAAGACAGAGAATTCCAGAGAGCAAACGACTTGCTCAATGGAAAATTAAAAGCTTCTGTTCGCGAAGGAAAGTCAAAACCAACTAAACACAAGCCGGTTATTGACAATGGTGATATGGTTAAAATTCAAGCTTATCTTGACCATGAATCTCCAACTTGTTCACTGTACAAATGTTGGTTTGATCTGTCAATCCATTTCGTATCCAGAGGTTTAGAATTTCACAGTCAACTAAAGCCGGATTCGTTTGAATTTCGTGTTGATGATGAGGGTAGGGAGTACGCGGCTATTACTCACGAGACCATTCAGAAAACTTCTCAGGGAGGGCTCCATGATCCGTTGAACAACACTCCTGATAAACGTATGTACGCGTCCGATACATCGCGATGCCCTGTTGCTAATCTGAAATTGTTGATTTCCAAATTGCCACCACAAGCAGACAAGTTATTCTGCATTCCAAAATCAAATGCCACGCTTAATGACCCTGTTTGGTATTCGGGAAAACCCATGTCCGAGCGCCAACTGGGTCAAATAATCCGAACAGTGTCAAAGGAATGTGGCCTCAGTCGCGTATACACCCCACACTGTGTCCGAGCAACAGCCATCCAGGCACTTGCTGATGCAAACGTTGAATTAAGGCACATAATGTATTTATCTGGCCACAGGAACGAAGCCAGTATTCGTTCCTACAATAGGTCCATTTCGAATGACAAAAAACACCAACTGAGCACAGTTTTGCAAAATCTCACTGACAACGCGTCCGACAAGTGCCCTAACTTTCAAAATTCCGCTTCGGTTTCAAGGAACCCCAATGACCTTGCCGCAAGCGGTGATGCCAATTTCGCGACCGTTTCAAGTCGCCCAAATTTCGGCAATGTCACTTCACTACCCTACGGATTTCCAATATCCGAAAATTGCTCGTTTACACAAGAGTTGAATCTCTCGCAGTTTGCGGCTTCGTCTGGCGGTTTTCTGCCCCGTGGTGTGTTTAACAACTGCTCCATAAATTTCACGATAAACAATCACAAATAAATAGAATTCAACAACGAGATCTGCTTCCAATTCGCCACGCCACACAACTTCGAAGTCGGTCAGTGTATTAAGCGGTCAAACGAATACGTCAGAGTGTAAAGCTACAATGACAGTTTGTTAAACTTGATATTGATATTTGTTTCTGTTTGATAATTTTATTGATGTTATACTTATTAAAGTAGTTTCAAACCTAATGACGAATTTGTTGTTAATATTTTAAGGAAAACTTTGAGAACTATTTATTCAAGGGTTGGGATACATGTGTAAAATATCGCCAAGTATAGAAACATCGCTGTACATCACTGCAAACACTGA